CCACTATAAGCTAAGGTCTTATTGGTGTTGAGGACCAAGTTATTGTCTCCACACCACGAAAGCAACCGGTCCACCTCATCTTGGTAGGCAGACTCATCCCCCCCCCCACCGGAGATAAGTCCCACCACTGTTGTATCATCTGCAAATTTAGCAATAGTATTACTAGCGTGAGTGGGAATGTAGTCATGCACATAAAGAGTATAGAGTAAGGGACTCAATGACTCAACACGCAATCCTGTGGTGTGATGTCTGGTTGACTTTCCTGAAAGATTCTATTGATGTCCACCACTGTAGATCTCCCTCTAACTCTGCCATTTCTATCAGTTTGCAGAATTAAGGCTAGAAGACCTATCTGGAGGTCTGTTTCATGGACATACATAATATAGAAAACAGAATATGCTTTTGAAATTATTCAGACTTAATGTTTTGATGCAGAAATCTATCTCTGCTATACCCTCAAGAGATCACATCAAGCATCTCCAATGAAGATGAATCTACCACCTTCCAAGGCAGCTTTTTTATTATTGAATGTTCTTTATTGTGATGAATCTAATCTGGATTCCAAAAGAGTGACAACTCAGTTCAGATAATTTGGTTGAGGGAAAGAGAGTGAAAACAATCCCTTCATAATGGTTCCCAGAGTATATCCTTAATGTAGGCCAGAGATGTCAAACTGGTGGCCCATGGGCCAGATGTGTCATGCGCAGGCCACACCCATCCCTGCTCTACAAAGGCAAAAACAAATAGGTCACATGACGGCAATGTAACGTAGTGAGTTTGACGCACATAATGTAGGCAATAGGCTGCTTCAGTTTGGCAAGATTCTGTCTACATTTGTGAAACAAAGAAACCTGCTTGAAAAAACCATTATGTATCTTTCTTGGCTTTTGGAGCCTGTACTGTATGTACTATTATAAATAATTTCTTGATACCCAATTGAAATTTGATTCCTTCTAGCTTAAGCTCATTACTTCTGGTCTTGTCTTCTGGAACAACGTGAACAATTTTGGCCTATTTTCTCCATAACCATCCTTGACACAGTTATCATGTCTTTCTAGTTTGTTCCTGCAAATCCCTTCTTAATGGCTGCTCATTCCTACTCCAAGATCAGTTTTCAACTTAGCACAATCAGATCAGTGCAGAGGACCCCTAACTGCTTTTGAACTTCAGACATTTTGCTTTTGTTCCTAAGTGGGTTTTTGTGACTGAGGGTGGATCTAACCCTGGATCTTTTTAATCCCAGCCCAACACCTTCATTTCTGCACCAGCCTGGCTCTGACTATTGTTCAGGTGCCTGATGATTATAGATGTGCCCAAAGATTGAACTTTTGATGTTCTACGTAATAGAATAATATCCATGATTTTTAAGTCTTTTCACTAATAATGTTTTCCCTTGGCTTTTATTGTAGGCTTATTTTAACTTTTTTTATGGTATATTGTTACATATATAGTTCTCAAATTACAACCTTAATGGAGCCTGCCCAACATGGTCTTAGTTGTGACAGTCATATAGCAGGTTACCCACACAACCAACCCAATTTTACAATTTTCTGTGCGGCTGTTATTAATTGAACGCTGCAGTCATTAAGTGAACCAATTAGCTCAAAATAAATGCTGATTGTTGCCAAAGTATCATGAAATGTATTCAGATGATTGGCATTTGGGGTGATTGCCAAATGCTCAAAATGTGATTAGGTGATTAAAGGGGGGGTGTCGTAAGTATCCTGGAGAAATCTGTTGTAACTTCACATGGTCACTAAGCGACCAGTCGTAGATCAAGATCAAGAAATGTTAAGAATATAGATACCGATACAAAACAGTACATGAGAATAATTACGATTGACAATATGTATTAATATCAAATCATGTAAGAAAGCTAATAATATCAATGTGAAACTATTGTCATGTTTGCTCTAAAATGTCAAATAACCTGGAACCGTACTGTTCGTGAAATGATGTGTATATATAATTTATTGAACATTGCAAATATGACTATTAATATCAAATTCATGATAAAAGAAGTGATGTTAAGAATGTAGAGATTGATATAAAGTACATGATAATATTGAATAATTAAGACGGATAATATGCATTAATATCAAATTATGTAAGAAAGTTAACAATATCAATGTGAAACTATTGTCATGTTTGTTTTAAAATGTAAGACACCCTGGTACCAAACTGTTCACACAATGATGTGTTTATAGAAACAAAAAAATAAAAAATGTATTAAAAAAAAGAATTAGATCCAGTGTAGCTGTCCCTCTTGTTCCCTCCTCTACTTTTTGGGTGACAGAATTGTCAGAAACATGTCCGATCTCCCACTTGATTCAGAGTTTTTCTTCCAGTTGATGTCAGGGTAGTTAAAGTCCCCCATTACTACTGTGCTGTATTTCCTACATACATTTGTTAACTGTTTAGCAAAAAACTCATCTATTTTTCTCTCTTTATTTATTTACTGAATTTATATAGCTGCCTATTCACCCATGGTGACTGCTTTCTTCTGCTTGGTTGGATGGCCTGTAATATATACCTATGGCACTGTAATTTTTCCCTTTTATATTAATCCATATGATTTTTAGGAGGCTTCCGTCCTTAGTTTTATTCATTTCTATAGATATTAAGTGATCTCTTACATGTAATGGAACTTTACATCTTCTTTTGTTTAGTCTGTTTCTTTTGAACAGTTTATATCCTTGCTGTTAAAATAAACAAAAAAATGGTAAGAGAACACTTGTCTGATCTTGATGAATACAAATCACGAGGACTGACAAATTACATCCCAGAGTTCTAAAGGAGCTGTCAGATGTCATCTCAGAACCACTGTACCACATCTTTCAAAAATCTTGGAGCACTGGGAACTACCGGAGGACTGGAAAAGTGCTGATGTGTTCTGACCCAAGCCTTGTTCAAATTAAACAAATACAAACTGTGTATAAAAGCAAATCTTTTTAAATGCAGTGCTGGGAATTCAGTGCATTCCCAGCCAAGAGACACATAAACCTAATTGTCTGATACCAAAAGCAAGCCCTTTCAAGGCTGCAAAAGGCTGCCAAGAACAGAAAACTAATTACTGATTAAATACCCATTGACAGAAGTTTCAAAAACAAACTGGAGTAAGCAGGACTTCAACGAGGACTATGAGTCTAAAGAACTTCTTTGCTTCCTGCAAAGAACACAGCCGCGAGGGCTGGTTTTTATCCATTAAAACCATCACCTTCCAGCCTTATTCTCGAGTCACCCTTGCTGCTTCAGCTGCTCTTTCCTTCGAGCAGCCCTGCACACATGCGCACTGGGCACAGGCTCCCTGGGCTCCTCTGCGTAATTGCTGCCAGACTCCACAAGCTCCGAAGGCAACACCCCACTCTCTGATGGTCCTGGCCCCATCCCTGCATCACACGCAGGCCCCTTATCTGAGTCCTCGCTATTAGAGACCTCTGCCGTCCGCACCTGCTTGCCTTTAGAAGTTGTGGGAGCTTCATCACCGGAAGCTTTCAAGAAGAGACTTGACTGCCATTTGTCAGAAATGGTGTAGCATCTCGTCTTGGGTGCGGGGATTGGTTTAGATCAGGGGTCGCCAACTTTTTGGACTTCAGGGACCACCAAACTCATAATTTTAAATCCCAGGGATCACTAACCGGTTCTGTGGGCATGGCCTAATTTGTGGGTGTGGCTTGGTGATCATGTGACTGGCTGGGCATGGCTTGTATGTAAATATTATAAATATTTATATAAATATTGCATTTTTTTAAATAAAAAACCAAACTTTTACCCAAAATCAGGCAAAGCAGGCAGGCAGATTGAGTGCCTCACAGAATCATTCAGTGATCTATCTATCTGCTATTGGCTAGCTCAGTCTCTCAAATTTGCTTGCCGTGAGCCTGCACTGAATAATAGAACCTTCAGCCCTAAGGGAGGTTCGGCAGAGCCGAAGATCTAAAGACTAGCTAGAAAGCAAGAAACCCAACCATTTCCTCCTTCCTAGCTAATCTAAATCTCCTGGCACAGCAGAACAGATGATGGTCGGAAAAAGGAAAAATAGCAATTTAGCAGGCAAGTTTGCCGGGTAAGGAGTGGGTGGGTGGGGAGGGTTCCCGCGGGCCATGTGGGCGGCGCAGCCTTGTGTTTCATTGCTTGGGGGGGGGGGGGTGCTCTGGGGACGAGATTTTTCTACGGCCCACCCAAATTTTCTCATGGCCTACCAGTAGGCCGCGGACCACCGGTTGGCAACCGCTGGTCTAGATGACTTAACAAGGTTCCTTCCAGCTCTGTTATTCTGTTAATCTGTAAATTCCAGTCATTAGTTTCAGTAATGGCTGTTAAGCCTGGATTCCCCAACGGGTGTTAAGGAAAACAAACTAAACAGAACGTGCAGCGAAGTCAGATAGGAAGACAGGTAAATGTGTGAGATAAGTTTTCTAGTTAACACGCAGTAAAAATACAGATACGCTTGTACTATCAAAAATATAGTTTATTCCATTTAAGAATTATAGCATAGTCATATAAACGGTCCATTAGTCATATATCAATTTCAGTCAATTCTTGTCGGGGATACTCTATTTGCAAAGTCCGTGTTGAATAGCCAATGTCAGTACACTTACTATAAATCAGTCCAATCTTATCTTCTCTCCGTTGAGAAAAATCAACACTTCTACAAGAACGCAGTCATCAATCCATCCATTAATTAGGGATCAGTAGGCCAGAGAGAGAGAGCTGGTTTTGCCTCGCTTCTGATATAGTGCTTTTACAACCACACCCTTAATTACATTCTTGCTGTTAAAGTTACACACACTTTAACTAACAAACCATGATACCATATTTATTATTTTTACCCAAACCAGTTAGGGTAAACAATGTTATCCCTAACAATGGCAACTATATTATCATTGCTTTTGTGTACCTCTAATTCAAGTTCATCCTGTTTGTTCCTCAAACTTTGAGTTTTAGTGTATAGGTATCTGAGTCTTTTATGGCTGATTCTGAGTATGCTTCCTACATCTCCTACTTTGTATCTGAGTTTTTTCCCCCTTCCCATCACTCCCTATCTACTTGTTGTCATGGGATTTATGCTTGGGATTAGGTCCTAAAGATCCTGAAGAGTGGTTTCCCTCAGTTTTAGTTTAAAGCCTTTTGGATAAGCTGAGCCAGTCGTTTTCAAAATTCATTCTTCCTGATTCTTGTAAAGTGCACAAAGAGATTGTGAAATTGTTTACAGTTGTCATGATGAAGATGGGAAATTTCTTTCTTAGCTTTTGTTTCTATTTTTTCTCTCTTTCCCTTTCTTGTATTTTTTTCTTTCCTTTTTTCTTTCTTTTACTATTGTAATTACAACTTTTAATAAAATTACTTTTAAAAACTACAGAGTGACTGACATTTAGGAAGAAGGATGAGAGATATGTTATATTAATAAATAAACTGAATCTTCCCTCCTTGCACTCACTCTTTGCTCATCCTTTATTAAAATTGGAAATGCCTGAATTGTAATTTACAATTTCTAAATTTCCTATCTTTTGGTTTAACCTTAACAACCTTAGTAGCTTTTTTTATTCTCAAAGATGGCTCACCACCATCTCTGCAATAGTGTATGTTTAAACTAGCAGAAAAATTTACCAGCTTGGCACGAGGAATGGCATGTTTTTGATTTAATGATACTCATTCTGTGACTTGCCAGGAAATCTACTTTATAGAGCCCAAGATTCAGTTTGCAACTGATTTATCAATTAACTTGCATTTTTGTTGAAGCTCCCAACTTGGAACACATCAGTGCTTTCTTCAGAAAATAAAAATGATTCAATTAAAAAACAATGAATGAGCTATATAGGAGGGAGCTAGGAATGGCACTATTTCCACATATAAGCAAACTGGAATTGAAGTCTACTAACAGAGGATTCAGGACAGAAAATAAAAAAGTATTTATTATATAAACGTATTTACATAATGCTTAATTAACCTATTTTTTCGTTTGTAGAAGATGCACAGATGTAGAAGCAGTTTTCAGAGCTTGCATTGGAAAAGTTGCCTCCCCACCCCAATGTATAACCAAAGGATAGCATCCAATATAATACCAGAGTTGCTCAAGTTTCAGGTTTTGTGGACCTGTGGCAGAGGGAGGGGATGGTTTGTGTAAGTGGTGGGTGAGTGCATGCACTTCCATTTGCACAAGTGGCAGGCAAGCATGTCTGCCAGTTGCATCAATGAGCTGTGCATGCACACTCGGCACTCATGCAAGTGAAGCTGTGGTGCATGCTCACACATCATTCATGCAAGTGGAGCTGCAGGCATATACTCGCTCACTTGCCATTTCCTCAGTGTGGTTCCAAACGGGCTGCACCCCAGTACTGGTTTGCAGCCCAGGAGTTGGGGACCACTTACAATACTATACCATAAAATCAAAACGGATTTTCCATGTTTGGAATCAGTACATAAGAGGGAAAAATGCAATGCATTCTTGACTTATGTTCTGTTTTCAGAATTTCCAAAAGCAAGAGACTAAAATCTTTTGGAAAAAATAATGCTGGGCTAAATTGTCCTCTGTCAATCCAAAAAAAAATTATTTTTTTTTCAAATTAGCCCTATCCATATGACAAAAAATGACAGAAAATAAATTTAGAAAACTAAAACTTTTTGCAGCCATTTAATAGTAATCAAGAGTTTTGCTACCCCATCTTTTGCTCCTTAGACCCCCAATAACAATAATCTGTCACACAACAGTCCAGCCTAAACAATTATTGATAAGAAAGACAAAAAACTCTGGATGGTGGATGAGGCAGTGCATGGAGACAGCAGATTAGAAGAGAAAAAACTGGAAAAGATAACAAAATACAAAGACCTATAGATAGAAATAGAATGACTGTGGGAAAAGCAAGCAAGGATAGTACGATTAGTAATAGGTACTTTGGGTGCAATCCAAAAACAACTGAAACACCACTTGACAAACAACATTGGCATTGACAAATTCACCATCAATTTCAGAAGGCAGCTTTACTTGGAACAACTTCCATCCTGCGGCGATATCTGTAAAAACAATCAAACTTCCAAATCTGCCTATCACAGGTCCTTGGCAAGGACTTGATAGGTAGACAAAAATGCCAAACTCAGTCTGAACATGTGGCTGACTGTTGAGGTTGAGGTCCACCTGAAGGGGCACACTGAGGAATTTGCGGATTTTCTGAAAGAAAAAATCACTTGACTTCATTCCCAGTTAGATGCTGGCGTGATTGCTGGTGGAAACCCGTGAGGCAGGTTCTTGCCCTGTTATCTGGAAACAGTTTGACCATGTCACTTCTGAGGATGTGGACAGGATCCTAGGGAGTATGCATGCAAGCACCTGTATTTTAGACCCATGTTCTTCTTGGCTTCTGAAAGCTTCCTGGGAGGTGACAGGTGTGTGGTCTCTGGCGGTGATTAATGGTTCCCTACAGGAGGGGGTAGTGCCTGAACATTTTAAGGAGGCTGTGATCATTTTTCTGGCTTGCTTCCGGTGGTGTTGGAGGCAAGGACCATGAGCACTGCGGCTCTGCCCTAAGATCTCCCCATTGGAGGGCTCTGAAAGGAGCCATAGCCAGCCTGTAGGGGTGGTGAAGTAATGGGGGCCTTGTAGGTCAAGGAGAACCTCATCTCTCCTCCCTGACTTGGAAAACCCCCTTCATCCAAAGATGAGGAGGAGCAGCAGTCAGTCAACATGGCTGCCATCAAACCGGGGGGGGGGGGGGGCAGTTCAGAACACCTAAGAAAGTGCAGGAGCAAAGAGAGCGATGAATAGAAATTGTTGCTGGGTGAGATGATTCTTCTTTTACTTACAAAATAACCCCAAGGAATAAAAAATCAGTGATAAGAGACTCTAAAAGCATAATTGTTTAGGCCGCAAAAATAAGCACTTCTGAGATTTTTGTTGAAAAGCAAGTTGAGAGCGCCATCTACTGATGAAAGAAAAAGTGATTCCTAGACTCCTAGAGAGTTACAGAGGAGGAAAAGGAATTTGATATCCCATGGAGGGCTGTGACTTTTAACTATTGTCTCACACTTACCAGAGGTGGAAATAAGAAACTCATTTTATTAAAAAAAAAAGCTCTGGGGAACCAGAATAAAAGACTAAAATCACAGAGCTGAATTAAAGAACTTGGAAAATAATTTAGACTATTAGAATATGGAGTAAATGCTGGAACTGGCTCATTTAAATAATTGACTCTGCCTTGTAAGGAATGGATCTTGATTGAAATTAATATCTGCTGGAAAAAAGACAGCATGTAAGGATTGCCTCTTCTAACTTAAGAAAGTGAAGACTCTTGAAACAAAGTATTTCAAAAGGAACCTTTTATTAAGCAGAAGTGAAAGCAAGTCATTCAGAGCAGTGTCTGAATACCCTTAGGCAAGACAAGTAGAATTAAAGTGGTAGAGACCCCTCCCTTTAGCCAGATGCGGATTCAGCCAATGCACAGATGTGAAGATGTTATTGTACTGGCCGCTCTGAGAAACAGATAAACATACATTCCCATGACTACCTTCCGCTGGCTTTCAAAGTGAAACAACTCACATGGCCCTCCCCCCTAAACATTCCCCAAGAGGTGAGAAAATCTCAAGGTGCTTCGGGGCCAGGATACAAGTTATAAAATAACAGTTGTCACAGGCAATAGTAATGAATTGAATTCAAAACCCTCTTCTCCCGATTGAATGGCAGTATCACTTTTAGGGATCTGACATGCTGCCCACCTTAGAAAAATGAAATATCCACCTGTGAAAAGATAGAAAAAAATACTATTATAGTATGTTAACAAGGCTTGTTAGGGTATTGGGAGTGGAATTTTTCAATAATGTAGGAGCCCTAACATGGTGTTTAGCTACCCATTCATTTTGGGATGAGGGTAAATGTTTCCAAGCAAGTATTGGGTTTTCCCTCTGTGGATCCTAGAGTCAAGGATTTCCTTGATTTCAAAGTGTTGTTCACCTTCCATCATGATAGGAACAGGTGGTGTGGATGCAGGTGGTCTGAGGGGTGATATTACATCTCGTTTGAGTAAACTAATGTGAAATACTGGGTGGATTTGCCTGAGTGTTTTTGGAAGGAGTAGTTCTACTGTCACTGGATTGATGATCCTAATGATAGGGAAAGGTCCAGTGAACTTTCTTTGATGTAATTTCTTTCTGTAATGATTGCACACACAACCCAGTCAGTGAAATATATGCTGCGCATTTTCAGGACAGCGAGAAGACTTGGGAAAAGCTCCGCTACACACACAACACACACACACACATGTTTACACTTAATGAAAAGTGAAAAGACATGCACAGGAATGAAGAGGTTGTCTCTCTCTCTCTTTCTCTTCTGCCAGCCCCTGCACTACACTGCTACATGCTGATTGAAACAGGCCTTTCCCACCTACCCTCTTCTGCAAAGGAGACACAGCACATGCCTCCATACTCGGAATTAGTGGTATTTGTGCTGTCCGAAGGGGCTGGCAGGCTATGGCTGCAGCTGGACACCGTTGCCTCCCCTCACGCTTGCCCCTCCACATTTATATTTATATATTATATATTATATACTATATACACACACACACACACACACACACACACACACATATACATACAGTATGTACAGTATATACAGAATATACAGTATATACATATATATACACCACACACACACACACACACACACACACACACACACACAAACTTGATAATGTATAACAGACAGCATCATCACAAGATGGGTTTGATAGACAGACTGTTTGTCAGCATTCCAACCAAACTCTCCATCCCAAATTCAGCACACAGAAACAAAGTCCATCCAAGTAAGAATTTATTAGAGAAAACATATTGGCACATGTGGGGAAAACCTGAATCTGAATTCCTGCCTTTTCCCCTGCTACACTAAAACTCACACTGTGACGACCAGGGGCGTGGCACAAAGGCAACACAGTCACATAAGTAAGAAGAGTCCCTTTAATACCTCCAACTTTTTCCCCAATGTCCAGGTTACCCTCAGCTAGAGAAAAAACTCTCCCAAGAACAGCCTTTAAGTGGAGGAAATTCAGTTCGAAAACAAAGTACATACAAACTGTAAATAAAAATCCACACAAACCACTGCTGCAGTAATTAGCTTGACAGGGCAGGAGAAGGAATTCCAGACTTGAAAGGCCAGCAAAATACACACAGTTGGGAAGACACCAGGAACCCAGATAAGCCTCGACAATAACAGATAACTCACAATTTGCTTCCAACTAGTTGCTTTCCTTTTTAAACACTGTGTTCCCAGATGCAGCTAATGAAGGGAATCAGGGCCCTTTCCTCTCCTGTAAGCCACGCAACTCACATTGCTCCATTCTCCATTCCTCTCTACGTGCCCTAGGATGAAGAGGGGGTGGGCCTGGGTCTTCCTCCGAATTCCCTCTCCCTTGCTCTACCTCTCCCCTGCTCTGCCCAGCCAGACTGTGCCCTTCCCCAGTTTCTTCCACAGCCAACAGAGCCACACTCCCACTCCCTGTCAGCTGCTCAGCCTCCCCCTCAGAATCACATTCTGATGGGCATGACACACACCCAGCCCCTATTGATGATCCTCAAGTCACGCTCTCCAATCCCCTCCAAACTCCAGTGACTTGGCTTTGAGCTCTGATGAAATAATGTTGTTGTGGCTATCCTCCCTTGTCACTACTCTCTCATTCCCACAGCTGCCCATTCCCCCCCCTGGTGGCAGCCCTAAAACTAATTCAAGATGAATCCGGGGCTGATAGGCTGCCTCTCCTCAAGCGATGAAAACATCCTGAAATGAAACAAGTGACAGGTTAGAATCTGCCCCCAACTAACCACCTCTTCCTCCCCCATGGGGTCCTTTTGGTTTATCAAGGAATTTTTCGAGAAACTGTCTTATTAATCTATTCGTTTTTACATCGCAACTTTTTACCCAAGTGGCCTCAGACAAAGGATACCCCTTCCAATGAATAAGATATTGTAGTTGGCCCCTATTTAACTTAGACTCTAGGATATTTTTTTATTTCATAATGCTTCTCACCCTGAACCACTATTGGTTTGGGAGCTGGTTGGTCTCTAGTTGGGAGAACACAGCCAGTTTCAATAAGCTGCTATGAAACACCATATGCATTTTACCCGGTAAGCAAGGGAGACTTAGCTGCACAGTAACTGGATTTATTACTTTCATTATAGGGAACGGCCCTATGATTTTTTTTGTGGGCAGCTTCAGCCTAAGGTATTTAGTAGACAGGTAGATCTGGTCACCCACTTTGAAAGGGATTTGTGGTGACAGATGTTTATCTGCTTGACACTTGTATTTTTCAGCTGCTTGAATGAGTGTCCACTTAGTATTCTCCCACTTCTTTCATAGCGAGTCCATCCACTTGGCCAAGGACATCGAGATGGGAGGTTCTCTAGGCAGTTCAGGCATCGACATGAAGTCCATTCCACTAATGACCTGGAATGGGGTTAAGCCAGTGCTACTATGGACCGCGTTATTGTAGGCAACTTCCACAAAAGGCAGCACATAGGTCCAATTGTCCTGTTGGTACATAGCACCTCAGGTACTGCTCCATCATTGGGTTCTTCTGTTCTGCGGCTCCGTTCATACTTGGATGGAACCCCAAGCTCAGCCCCTGGACCGTAGGAACTTTCTCCAGAATTTGGCGGTAAACTGCACTCCCCAATCTGAGATGATTCTCTGCGGCACTCCATGAAGTCTATAAATCTGCTTGATGAACATCTTTGCTAACTTCTTGGCTGACGATAATTCAGGACAAGCAGTAAAATGTGCTTGCTTAAAAAATAGGTCCACCACTGTCCAAATGACTGTATTCCTGCCACTTTCTGGAAGTTCTATGATAAAGTCCATCACTATTTCTTCCCAGGGGTGGCTGGGATTAACTATGGGCTGGAGTAGACCAGGCAGTTTTCCTGGCTGCATTTTCATTGCTGCACATGTAGAGCAGCTCCTCACGTAATTCTCTACATCGACTTTCATCTTTGGCCACCACAACTAACGTCTCATCAAGTCTTTAGGATACCCCTTTATAATCGCACAGAGCTTATCAGCTATCCAGGAGGCACAGCTTTCGTTGTATTACACGCACACGCAAAACATAAGTACCGAACCAGTAGTAACACCGGTTGAATCCCACCCCTGGCTGAGACTTTGGAAAAAGTGCAAAGAAGAGCAACTAAGATGATTAAAAGCTTGGAGGCTAAAACATATGAAGAACAGTTGAAGGATTTGGGTTTGGCTAGTCTAGAGAAAAGAAGGACTAGGGGAGACATGATAGCAGTATTCCAGTATTTGAGAGGCTGCCACAAAGAGGAAGTATTCAATTTATTTTCCAAAGCACCAAAGGACAGGACAAGAAACAATGGATGGAAACTGATCAAGATGGCCACTACCTTGGTCAACTGGATTTCCTCCCAGTCTTCCTGAACTCACATTGAACAGCTCTTCCCAGCAGTCTCTGGTGGTATGCAAATACAATGTATATGCAACCAATGACTCAGCTCCCCGGTGCCGATCTTGGTCCACTGGACTTCACCTCAGTGCCCCTGAACTCACAGTGAGTAGCTCTTCTCAGCAGTCTGGTGCTATGCAAATGCAATGTCTGAAAGGGACCTAAAACTGAACTAGTCTAAAATTAGAACAATTAGGATTGTTAACCTAATCTAACTTGGAGGTTTCATGTGCAGAAGCAGAAAAATGGTTGATTGACCTTGAGCTTCATCTTTTTTGCTCTAGCCCCCTAACTGCTAATTTGATGTGCCTGCAAAGTCACATCTCTATTTAAAGTCTATGGTAAGAATTGGACTATGGCCAAA